CCACTAGTGTAGGACTGCTTGCCCCCATATATATTCTCACATGTTCTAAGCCAATCTCCATACTAGCCTTCATGGAGGTTCTGATTTTCAATGTCGGCCAAACGGATTACACAATTCTTGTCAAGGTGACCAATACACTCACAGTAGTAGCTTAGATTCACCAATCTCTCATATCCAAAGTGAACCATGATTTGATGATCTTCAAGTTTCACCACTGTACATCTAGGCAATGGCTCATTGATGTTGATAATTGCTAATAATTTGATATAGCTACCTACTTCTCCTCCCAGTTTGCAGACAGTGACATTCTTCACTCCATCGAAAACTCTCCCAATCTTCAGACCTTCTTCACTGCTCATCCAGTTGAAAGGAACATTCTTGACATGAACCCATAGGTTTATCTGATCAAAACATCAGTGCTTACTATTCAACCCCTGAAACCATTCTTTCAGCACTAGATGTTGGTTCTCGAAGAACCAGTTATATCCTGCTGCCACCCTTTTCTTGTCGTCTTCGAAGTTGAATATAAATTGAAAGAAATTTGATTCCACTTCACGAACCTCCATTCTTTGTTGAATCCTCCAAATTGCGCTCATTGTTTTTGTAATCCCTAGGAGCGTTGCTTTCCGGTCCCCAATCACTTTACCAAAGAGGCTTCTTTCGCATTCTTCTTCATTTGTTGTAATATCACCCCGTTGAATCTCAACCCCTCCAGATTCCTTCTCAGACATTGAAAAATTTTGAAGTTTTCTTGTGACCTCATCACCCATCTCCCCCAAATTCATCATAATGAAATCCGGCTACAACCACGATAACACAAATCGAAAAAAATTACCTTCACCAAAGGAATTTGATACCTCCGAGCAAGAGAGAATCCCTAGCTCCTATGAGAGGGAATTTTCTTAAGAAAAAACTCTAAGATCCAAATTTAGATTATTTCACATAAGGAAAAAAAACAAATAATAAATGTTTATTAATATATTTAAAAATGTAATTTTCAGTTTCTTATAACGTAAAAGACAAGATAATTAAAATTTATTTTTAAAAAGTTTCTAAAATAAATAATATTTTGGTAATTATATTCGGAATAATAATTGAACCATTTTAATTTAAAAAAATTGGCGAGTTTATTAATAAGATGATCTGGTTAGATAAATTATTAATTAAATAGAATATTATATTAATTATATCTTAAAATATTTGATTAGATAATGTAGATAAAAATATTATTATATAAGACATAATATTTAATTAAATTACCACACCATTTTCTTTGTTTGTTTTTAAATAAATTTTGTTTACATAAGATATATGTTATTGGTTAATTTTAGAATCTATTGGATTCGTTTAACTTTAACTATTTACACACGCTTTCAAAATTTAAATCAAAACTAAACTTTATATTTTTTTTTTTTTTTGCTAAAATAAAGAAAATGTCTTTCCATATTTTTTTAAGTTAGAATCTGTTGAATTCTTTTAACTATAACTAATTGCTGGCAGATTATTTAATAAAATATATTTAAAACTCAATAATTTTCATCATCAATATCTATATATATAATTACTAACAAAAAATTTAAATTGTTGTTTCCCGTCACTTCATGTTACAATCCATTATTATTATTATTATTATTATTATTATTATTATTATTATTATTATTATTATTATTATTATTATTATTATTATTATTATTATTATTATTATTATTGTTGTTGTTGTTGTTGTTGTTAGTACTGTTATTATTATTATTAACATTAATCCACCATATCCCATTAATGATAATACATTTCTTTCCTTGCACTTTTTTTTGGTTAATCAAAACAAAATTGTTACATTTTATATTAATTGAGTAATAATTATATTTTTCTGTTGTATCGTATAAAATTTATTATTAAAAATAATAATGTTATTTTACAGTAACTGATATATGAAAGTTACATAACATAAAAAATTACATTGTAAAACTTTTTATTTAAGTTAATTATACTAAAATAAATATTTAATTTTTTACCTGCTTATGTGATTGTTTTTTAAATAAATTAATTTGTTATCATAGAAAAATCCCTTAAAATTGCATAAGCAATTATTATAAAAAAATTAATATTTTTAAGCTAATTTATTGGTCATGATCCCTCAAAATTATAAAAATAACACTATTTATTACATTTTATACAATCAATATAGTGATTCATATTCAATTGAAAAATTATGTACTATTTATTTTAACGAGTGATTAAATTTAAAATTTAATATCATTATCTAACTTATAACTTTAATATTATATGCATAAATATATTTTATAATATTTTGTTTAAAATATAATATAATTAAATATTGTATAATTTTAAAATTATATGCGTACAAATAACTTATAATACTTTATTCATATATATACAAATGCACATTGTCCAATACTAGTGTGTAAGAATGATTGATTGATATTATTTAATTATATTTACAATATTTAGGATAGTGGAGTTGAGTTAAAGTTAAGTTAGAAAATAATTGATTAAATTGATTAAATTTTTTTGAGATAACTTGTATCCAACATTTTGCATATATGTCAAATAAAAATAAAAATAAAAAAATCATACCTAAAAGAAAATTCTATTGCATTATAACAATGGAGAATTACAAATTAAAATAGGTAAAAGAAAAATGAATACTCTTTCATCATTCATGGATAAATAAACATCTAATCTTTAGGTTTACAACCACAATCATCCTTTTACAACACAAGGAAAAGTAATTACATTGTTCACAGTATCTGTGAAATCATCATCTTGGGCAGATTCTTGAAGTCGTCTTCTTCGTGATCGCGTGCCAAAATAATTTACCATTTCAATTTCGCCGGGAAATACTGCAAAACGGTTTCTTCGTTAGCTAAACAAATAAATAGTGAGTTTTTATGAGGTAATTAATTATAAAATTTGTCGAGAAGCTTCGATGTGACATCTATATTGTATATACAAAATAAACAAATAATTAAAAAAAAAAAAAACATTGATTGAACCTTTTCAATAAGGGAGAGATAGTAGGGTTTCACTTTCTCCACATCAACCCGAATCTTGCTCTTGCTATACAAGTCATATTTGCTGCACATGTTTGAAAATTTGTCAGTATATGTCAAATTTATGAATTAGATTTGGAGAAATGATATGGTCCCGTTACGGATCAATTCAGTCGAATTTGTAACCGTTAATCATCATGTAACCGTCGCGGATAGTTGATCTAACGGTTACAAATCCCGACGGAATGCTTCCGTAACGAGATTGTAACATCTCTCGTAGTTTTGTAGCTTATTTATTAATGTTACTACCATAATAGATTTGTAATAACTTTAATTTAAGAGAAGAAAAAAATGTAATACTTGAATATGTGCAGCCACTTCAGATTCTCTTTATCCTCCTTATTCATCAAGTGTGTATAAGCTCCAGCTCTATGCAATGCTGCATAATACATACAAAATTTAGTACATATATATACTAAATCAAAACATTATTATTTCTTCATGTATCTATAATTCAAACTCAATCATACAAGAAAACATAATCTTACGGTAGAACGAGTGGTAACGGACGATGAATAACGCGGCAGAAGGCAATGTGGTACCGTTTTCCTTGGCGACCTATTTAGACAAAAATGAAAATACCAAAATGTTAAGCTTATATACTTTTGATTTTACCCGATCAATGTCCGAAGGGCATGGAAAATAAAGACGATTTTTAAAATTTTAATTACCAAGTACATGTAGTCGTCGTGCCCCCACGACATAACGACGCTCTCTAAGCCGCATCCTTCTTGGTAAATCCCGTTTTTACCGTTGTATGTTGGGTTGTGACTGTCTGGATTGCCTTCAAAATGCTGCAACACAAAAATGGTGAATTAATTTTCATGAATATGGAAAACCAACAAAGAGCAAAATTAAATTAATATTGTAACTATATATTGATTTTGCATAAGATGTGATATTTAATTAGTTACCTTATGGTGAACAATGGATTCATCAAAGGCACATCCAAGAGGGAATGTGTCACCTGTATTTTTTTTTTTTATATATATATATATTCAAATACATATTAG